TGAAAAAACAAAGTTTAATGTTCTTCTTTATTAGTTAAAAAAATCTTTCAGAGGACCATGACTTTGCAGGTTAAAATTAACATGTTTTATTATTGTACAGATAGAATCAGACTGCAGAGCTTCTACATCTTGAAATTTTGTTTCTGGCAACATTATTTTCGAAAAGAGGTTCATAAATATTTCTAAACAGAGCTAAGAGAGAAGTAGGGAGAGCTGCAGATTTAAAGGTGAAACAGATTTACTGGGATATGAAACAAGCAATAAAATGTATCCCCAAGTTTACAAAACAAAAAATGCTATGCTATATTTAAAATGCAGCATATCCATATTTTTCTGGATGGATGGAATTGAAATTGTTCTTTTAGGGATGCATGATATATCATATATCAATTTTTGCATCAGAATCGGCTGTTATTCATTATTTTTTAATACATTCATGTTTTTGGGCCCAATATATATATTACACTAAAAGGCATCCGTCTAACTATCTATAAAAATCAATATCAGTGTGTTCTCAACAATAGGAAAGCATTCAATAAATATATGTTTAAGCTCATTTTTGGAAAATACAAAAACCTAATGAAAGCATTTGGGTGGAGTAACTGTAGGTCCATCAGCCCCCACCCTTAGAGTGCCCCCACCAACTTTCATCACAAAGTTACACCCTTGCACTCAGGATATATAAAGTTTAACATCGGCAAAGGAAAATAAAACAAAACATCTGATTTTATCGAGTTGGAAGTACTCTGTAAATTTGAACAGTTTACTAAAAATATATATTTTAAAGTTCAACCATTGCAGCAGGGTTTGCTGTTTTCCATCGAGTCTGAATGTCATGCAAAGGTGGTCTTTTATTTTGAAAACCAGAAGCAGTTTTTATGCTTTTGTATTAACTTTAAATCTATCCTGGCTGAGCCTGAGCGCTTCCACTGACTTTACTTTACAGGTTTTACAGGCTGGAAGTTAAATTCGCATCTGCAGGACTGATGTGTGTTAAAACATCCATGGTTGTTTAGCTGATTCTGCATCTTTGCTCTTCATCCAGCCTCCTGCTCTGCAGGGGAAGCAGGGAAAATCTGACTTTTCCCTTTTCCTGAACAAGAAATTCAACATGGCGGCTGTGCGCCTTGCAGAAACATCTTAACATCCTTGAAAATTATATTAAATGTAAATTCAAAGAGACACATGCATGTCAGGCTGTGTTTAAAACTACAAGTGTGAAAAAAAAAACAGGATGAAAAAAAAAAAATACTGAAACCCAACTTCCCTCAGCAAAGATGTTTGGGGATAATGATGCTGCAGCTGCTGCACACATCTGGAATAAAAAAAGCTCGTTTAGTTTAACCTCATTGATATCCAGTGGCTATTATTCATCATTTCCTCCTATTGCTGCGTCACGCTTACAGGAAGGCATTTATTTCCTTATAAGGCAGGCCTCTCTCACATTTCCCCTCCTTCAGGAGAGATGGCTCTCCTCCATAACATGAAATCAAGGATTTAAATCAAGCCCTCAACTTAACTTATATGTATTTTTAGCTTCAAATATTCAATACATTGCATTTATAAATAATTGATACCACCCTAATTATTATTTTCATATTTTCTCGCAAGCTTCTATACATTTGATTTCTACTTCATGCGATAAGTCAAAACAAAATAGATTTTACCTTTTATCAGCCCACCAGAAAATCCTTGTCAATCAAGACTTCAGATTTAAACTACTCTAATAAAATGAGAGTTTAATTTAATTTCAGGGAAAACCAGCTGTTCTGTGAAACCATCAAAGGTTTGTCAGAGAACATTAGTGAACAAATAGAATCATCTAAAGCTGAAAGGTTTGGGTTTAAAGTGAAGAAAAGTCTAGAAAAAGAGTTAGGTTGGAAACAATATCACAATATCATGTATAATGTGCAATTACTATTTAATACCCTGTGAAATTACCTGTTTATATTTGACATCCAGTGCAATAATATATATATAAATATCCATCTACGGTATATAAATACCATGTGCAATAACCCGATGTAAAAAATATGTTGACGCAGTGTGAATACTGTATATATTCCATGCACCTTTTCTTCCTTGGGCAGGTTCTTCTCCTCTTTTGACTATTTGAGCTGATGTAACGAGTACATTTCTCCACTGAGAGATTAATAAAGTCAATCAATCAATCAAGCTTTGAAAATCTCATGCATCACTCTTCAATCACTCATCCAAATATGAAGTTTTAAACAAATGGGAAAGCTTCCAATCCATAAACGTCCACCTAAATTGACATAATAACCAAACAGGCGTTCAGTGAGAAACAGCTCAGAGGATCATGGTAACTTTGGAGGAGCAGCGGAGATCTGTGACTCTGGTGGAAGGTTATCCAAAAAATAGTAAATGTCCTTTACTTCAATAGAGCTTTTTTGCAAGTCAGGAGACTTTACCAGGGCGCTTTACACTACATTCCTGTCATTCACCCATTCATACACTGATGGTGGAAAACTACGTTGTAGCTACAGCTGCTGACAGAAGGAAGGCTGCTGTCCCTAAATGACAAATCCGCCATTTGAGTGGACAGAAAAGATTCCTTGTTCAAAAAAAAAAGTCAGAGGAAGTCCTGTTTGTCACAACATGGATCTAAATGTACTAGTCAAAAGTCAAGTTCAACAGTAGGACTTTTAATCTGTCTCCGGAGGAAATAGTTCAATTTCCAGATATGGAAAAAAGTGGTTCAACTAAGTACTGACTTTGAGCGCATTATGAGACTTCTGTTTTGTCTTTAGGAAAAGATGAAAACCAAATAACTTCCCCTCACTTCGTTTTTCCACCCAGTAAACATGACTAATCATACAATCCAAGTAAAATACCTAAAGGTTAGCAGCTCTGATGTGACATTAGTTTGTAATGCATGAATACTTCCTGCAATTTAAATGTAGCCTTTATAATAAACAAACACGACTGAAAAAACAGAATTGTCATCACTCACATCTGTTTGCTTTTAATCTGTTTACAATCATAGTTTTTAATCCAAATAAACATGACAGGATGTTATAAGATGTTCTGAGTAGAATGATAATCTCTCATAGCTTCTGATTACAGGAACCTTCATATCGATATAAAAGCTTAAATAAAACTACATTCAGTTGTGGTAGACCAACACCCAAAGAGCTGCCACTGGAGTGGGGAAAAAACAAGCTGATTTCTAGAACATTAAAACGGAGGAAATACATGAGTGTTAATGTTTCAGAACCAAATCTGATGGAAAGTTTAAATCCAGTCTGCAATGAGAAAACAATAACATTTACAGAGTGACGGCTCAGCAGGACAGACGGGCCTGTTTCTACAGGCACTGTTACAAACCAACAAACACTTCAGTTCATACAGATACCTGCACCTGAGTTCAGAATGAAACACACGTTAGAGAAAAGTATGAATATGACACCATTCTGATTAACCTACCAGATTTAAATGAGCTGCACTGATAACTCATCGCTTTAGCTCTACGTAAAGTAAAAACCTAAAGAATCTAAATGTTGATTATTTTAACAATAACATATATAATAATTAAGGCTTTTTTATTCTCAAACAACAAAACTAACATCTGGTGGAGATAAACAGTTTCCCAACATGTTGCTTTTTTTTTGTACTGCAAGAGATGATGATGGATGTCACAGGCTATAAGGGAGGAAGACATTCAAAGGTCAACATGTTCCAGAACAGTCCTTAAAATAAACTGCAAATAGAAATCTGATTTGTAACAAAGGGAGTAAAGTTTTATGCTAACCTAAACCTATACACAAATAAACCTTTATCTGACATTTAGGTCACATTATGCTAAGCTACATATAATCATTGCCTTTTTTTTATTCAGAAACCAGGGAATAATTTAAAACAGGCATTAAGCTTATGAAACACTTTAACCCTCGCATGAAACTGCCTGAACAGATGCTGCATCTATGCTTATCAATTAATAAAAAGGAAATTTATCACAGTTAATTTGGTACCTCAGTTCCAAAAAGTGAACACAAGCCCAGATAAAAGAAAACAAACAAAAAAACAATAAAATAAACATGACACCACCGTTAGCTAATCTCATACATTTCTTCCAAATGTACGTCAACTTTATCCCGCCCAATTCAACAGAAACGTACAGCAAATGGGTAAAATCACCTATTCAGTAAGGTAGATCTCTCACCAACACCTGGACATTTCAAGTGAGATCGTCAGGCCCAGAATAAAACATGGTGGTGGCAGCATCATGATCTGGGGTTGCACTTCTATAGATGGAACTGGAGATTTTGTTGAAGTGGGAAACAACCTCTACTTTTCTAAACATCAAAGGTTTAATTACCTGCTGAGGATTAATATTCATCATGTAGCGTCACAGAGCCAAAGCTTAGATCAAAATTAAAGATTTGCTTCATAAGAGGAAAATCACAATTCTGGGTTTAATCTTAATTTATGAGGAAAATCTCCAGGGTTATGGATCAGAGATATCCCTATAATCCAGTGGATCTGGAGACTTTTTCAAAGGTAAAATAAGCAAATAGACCAAATAACTGAGAGGGGCACAGTTACCATAGAAGTCTGCATATTGTATCTGAATTAAAATGTGTTTTAACAGAATATTTAACTGTGTTTTTGTTAAATTGTGCAGGATAAAGGTTTGATTACATGCAGAAAAAGCTTTGAAATGGTCCCAAACTTGTTTTTCTTTTGTCAGAGAAGACAGCCAGTTGAACAAAGCAGCATACATCTGTAAGATGCACCATATTTACCTACTGCAATGACAATTTCAATAAGTTTAATACTTCTCACTGTTTGCTGACAGAAAAACCAAACATTTTTTATACATTCTTTGGTCCTGCCTGTTGCATCCCAATGACGCTTTAATGCCCCAGTTTAAAACCATTTTAATTGTGCAGCGTCATTGTTTCAGGTTCTTGGGAAGAGAAGAGCTCAGTAATGTTACTAAAGTGGGCTGCCACTGTTTTTTCTTTTGGTTTTTTTTAATGGATGGCTGGTCACCAAGTCTATCTGATCCCAGACCAGCTGTGTAGGTAGGAGGTCCACCCTGAGCCCCGGGAAGCGGCTCCCTCCTCCTCACCTGCAGAAAATAATAATATCTGGTTAATATTGAAGACACGAGGCATCAGATGCATTAGATAATCCAGTGGCTCGTTATTAAGCAGTGGACAGGTTGCTGTGATATAACTAGTGTAAGGCAACTTTTCTTATTTGGGTTCAGGACATATTACACTGACTGCTTATCTATTAGGTACCTTGAGCGATAGCAGCCAGTTTGCTCTTCTCCTCTGGACTGAGCTGCAACATGGTGTGAATGACAGGCAGCAGCGCCTGCCTCTCGCTGCCAGAGCGCAGGAAGATGAACTGCAGCAGGACGTTCTTCAGATACTCCAGATTGGCCACACTCTTCTCCCTCTCCTGGTTTCGCTCAAGTCGCCTGACTTCGCTCTTCAACAGCTGATGGATGTAAATAGGCAGGAAAAAACACATTCACATGAGTATTAAAGGCAATCAGTAATATTATAAATGCTTAAAGGAGAAGTTCGGTTTTTTACACTTTAAGCCCATTTTCTGTAGTGTCCAGGATGAAATCGAATGATCGACACCAAAAGATTGACAATTGCTCCTGTCTCTGCTTTTTGGCTCATTTAGAATCACCCTCTGGCTGCTTTAGAATGGCTAGCATAGAGCATGTCCGATAATGTCCTTAAAACAACCTTAAACGTTCTTTTTTTTAAATATGCTACTCACCGTGTCGTCAGCGCTGTTCAATGACGTTCCAAAAAAAGTTTCGTAAAGAAAAAACGTTCCTGTAGTGTTTTATTTAGCATTTTGTAAATCCCATTGAGTTCTGTAGGAATAGTCAATATTCCGCTGCCACCGGAAACGGAAATGGGGCCTGTTTACACAGTTGTAGTCTTTTCGCTTCACTCTGTGTACTCCGACGTCGAGGTGCTAACGTCTCTGTTAGACACTTTAAAAAACTCTGAAAATGGAATACGAAAGGTGGATTCTTGATTCTCGACGTCGGAGTACACAGAGTGAAGCGAAAAGACTACAACTGTGTAAACAGGCTCCATTTCCGTTTCCGGTGGCAGCGGAATATTGACTATTCCTACAGAACTCAATGGGATTTACAAAATGCTAAATAAAACACTACAGGAACGTTTTTTCTTCACGAAACTTTTTTTGGAACGTCATTGAACAGCGCTGACGACACGGTGAGTAGCATATTTTAAAAAAAGAACGTTTAAGGTTGTTTTAAGGACATTATCGGACATGCTCTATGCTAGCCATTCTAAAGCAGCCAGGGGGTGATTCTAAATGAGCCAAAAAGCAGAGACAGGAGCAATTGTCAAACTTTTGGTGTCGATCATTCGATTTCATCCTGGACACTACAGAAAATGGGCTTAAAGTGTAAAACACCGAACTTCTCCTTTAACTTTTTCATTTAAGTTTCAAACAGCTAAATATAATGTCTCCTGTTAGTTATGTTGTTTTTTCGGATAGGAAATGTGTCTCTGTTAGGCTCAGCTGACCAAATAAGGTCATATTCTTTATTTTAATTCATTTTTAACAAATTATTAAAGCAGAAATGATGAGAGACACAACAGTGCTAGTTTCTAACTTACTGTACCCATCTTGTTTTTAAGCTTATTCCATGATCCTGGTATGTCAATACACCCGTCTGTGTGGAACATCCACTGATAAGCAGTGGGGCTAAAATGCAATGCCTTGCAAAAGTATTTATAAATCCTGAATTTTTTCAGATTTTGTCATCTACAAATGCAAAATTCAATGTGCTTTATTGGGACTTTACTGGAATGTCCAACACAAAAGACTGGATAGATGTGAACTAGAAAACAATTAGATTTTTTTTTTTTTGTTTAAACATTAAAATCTCTCTTATATGTTTTATTAGGGTAGTAAAACAGTCTAATTGAAATCTGCCTTTTTTGTACACTGAATTTTTTTACACATCGAATTCCTCACTCTGAATTTTTATCTGGTGAAAATTCAGCTGCAAAAAATTTGCCTGCAAACAATTCAGCTGCAAATCTGTTGACCTTTTGGTGAACTCAAGCCAAAGGAACCTACGCTCGATTAGCTCATTTGGTCAGAAAAAAAAGGAAGTTCGCCACTGGCCGCTTCTCCCGGTTCAAACCAAGAGCCTTGGCAGAAAGGGGTGCTGCACTACCTGTGATCGGCTCAATTATGTCACCCAGTCCGATAAGATGAAAAATTCTAATGGCTGTCTATTACTAGCTACCTGACGTTTTGTAAATAACTTTTTTTTTTTAACAAGAGAAACTCATCCGCTTCATTGAGCCTGGAACACATCTATGCCCAACTGTTGCGTCACGTGACCAAATGAGCTAATTTCATTGGCTAGAAGCTGCTCGACTGCATTGAGTCTAGATTGCTTGGCTTGAGTTCACCAAAAGGTCTGTCACTACCTGATCCGTCCCGGAAGCATTATCTGTTCTGCGCATGCGCTATCAGCTAATTTGTGCATGTGCATCCAGATATCCATCCGGGTCATCCTCGATTTTATTTTCTTAAAAATACCTAAATGATGTTTTCCCTCCCCAAAAATAGTAAACATATTCAAATATAATGTGTTAAAAGTTAATAATGTATTTCCTGAGAAAATAAATGCCTTAAAATCCTTTCTGTTTTATCACTCTTCTCTGCCCGATCTGCACCGGAAATGCAATCCTACGCTCCTTCCGGTGGCTAACTTTTTTGGCTTTGGTTTTAACCATAAATCTAGTCTTTTTGCGCTTTATTTTTTTATTTTGTGTTAACCTTATGCTATATAGTGCGTAATCTAAAGAAAGAAACAACTAAAATGCAGATAAACATGGTTTGACCATATTTTGCCGTACTGCTCTGAGCATGTCTGATGATGACGTCAGAGAAGCAGTTTAACGAAAAAAATATAAAAAGCATAAAATTGTCTCACAAAATTCATAAAAAAATTTTTTAAATATTTGCATTAGCATTCTTTAGTGAGTTAAGGATAGAAATAAGTAGTTTTAGTACCATAATTACAGTATATATGGACACATAGATGTACATCTGTTTGCACATGTGCAGGACGGTTCATGCTTCTATGATAAATATATAAAATAATGATTGGGTAGTGACAAGGTCAACACATTTTGCTGTAGAGTTTTTTGCAGGCTAATTTTTACCAGATATAAATGAATTCAATGTGTAAAAAATTTTTAGTGTTTATAATTCGGTGTACAAAAAAATGGCAGATTCAAATGAAACTCATTCTCTTCCATATTTTATCAGTCCACCCATTGCCCTTTCGTAGAACAAGTTTATTTTAAAAGCCATCTGAAGTCCTCCAGAGGAACAAACAGCTTTACACATTTAAAGTAGTCCCTCTATTTTTTTAGAAGTATCACAATTAAGAGCCTGAATATTTCCTTGTATGACATTTTTTCTATGTTAATTTAAAAAATGTGAAAAGCTTCAAACGTTATTAAAAATTTCGCTTAGAGCCATTTCAAGGCGGATTTGTTGCATTTCTCTTTTGCTAATCAGTTCTTTCACATTTGGAGGTTTTCATAATGACACGTCATACTCTCGCGAGAGGTGAGGAAACAACAAGTATGGCGGCGCCTGCAGAGAGCTGCCTGATGTAGGAGCAAGGCAAAATAAAACGGTAGTTGTTGATATAGACTGCGCTGTTTTCCATGAAAATTTCATAAAAAAGCTGCTATAGTAAGATATGGGATATGAGCGAATACTGTGCGGCGCTCTGGAGCGATACTCCAGGCAGTTTCTACTCGGTAATGTCAAACGGAAAGCTCGATTATTTCAAGATGCTTCAAAGTCGTCGGAGACTTCCTACAGTGGCGTTTCCACACGATTGTTTACTTTGTTCGGACTGAACGGAGGGACTCTCGCCCAAACTGGCCGCCGACTGGCAGCCCGTCAAGGTTATTGCACCTCCGCCCAGCCAGCCAGAGACGTCACCTTGTTCGAGCATGACAGAACCCGCTTCTTCCGGCTCCTGACGATCTTCTGTGGCGGCCAGTTCGTGTTCTGGACATACCTGGCTCAGTTCGCCTTTACCGAGCTCAGAGACACCCGCGGGAAGGGAGAGAAAGGCGGAGCCAAGGCGCCCACCACCACGGGGCTTGCCGGGATGTGGAGCTTTGAGATGAACCTGGGTTCCAACGCCTGGAGGTTCGGGTTTACACTGGTATGTCTGTCCATAGGAGCCGGGATAGTCGGGCTCGGAGCTCTGTTCTGCTTGCGATCAGTCAGTAAAGTGGTTCTGCATCAAGGCGGGAGGATGGTGACTGTATGCACACAGTCCCCTCTGGGACCGAGCCGAGGCAGGACCATAACTGTGCCGCTAAGCCAGGTAGCCTGCCACGCCCACAGACAGGAGTCCACCTCCTTCATCCCCCTCAGAATCAAGGGACACAGGCTCTACTTTCTTCTGGACAAAGAAGGGACTTTAAACAACGCCAGGCTGTTTGATATCACTGTTGGCGCTTACAGACCAGTTTAAGATGAGATTACTGAGCCATCAGACTCTTTATTGACTCTACAGCTCTTATGTGGTTTTGGGTTTTTCCTTATTGTCAAAGTAAATAAAGTATTCGAAATAAGATGCTGGCTCATAAATATTTAGTTTGTGTTAAAGATGACCATGCATACACTGTCACATTAGGGGTGTAAATCAAACCCATCATGGCGATTCGATATCAATTTCCTGACCCAACGATTTGATTATTTTCGATACTCATGAATCTGCCATGTCTGGCTTGCCTGCTGTTTATGCGAGTGTGTGTGTGCAAGCGGAAAGGTTGTAGCGGCTAAAGGAAGCGAGGTAGGAGGATAAAATAGGTTTAGCGGCATTGTAGCAGAGGTGTCATGTTAGGTCCAGAAGAAAATAGATAAAAATAGACCGGAGGAAAAAACCAACAAAAAAACGGAATCGATACTCGATTATTATTTACACCCCAATGTCAGATATTTACCATGAACAAAGACATTCATACATACAGTGATCTGCTCCATGAGGACGGCGTTAGTGGCCTCAGTTTCATGCAGCAGGCCGTTCATGTGCTCCATGCTGCGGGTGACAGTGCTCAGCTTCTCAATCAGCTCTTCTTTGGTCGGCTCCACCGTCCACACAAACGGCTCTAGAGATAGAACCAGTGTAATAAGGAACTTAAAAGGTTCTGCGTGAATGTGTGCCATTCAGTTAAAAAACTAGGTCCACCAGCTTAAACATTGCTAACAGGATTGCTTATTGCTCAGGTTTATCAAAACGTTTCTAGCCTTTATTTAAAACAGTATGGCTTCACTGCAAACCTTGCAAAAAAATAAAATGGCTGATATGCTCATGGTAAAACGATCTGTGGTTCATCTATTCATATTACTTTTATTTGTACAGTTTTTATATCTCATCTTATTAAAAGAATGAGGAGAAGAAAGCTATTGTTAGGGGAAGCCAGAAGCTCTGAATGCAGTTCAGTGCTAGTGGCATATGATGCAGGAAGCATGTGGAAGAAGATCCTTTGATTAGAGATACCAACACCAAACTATTAGGCCTGTTGATGGGAAGATAAAAAACTTTAATCGGAAACTACACAGGCAGTATGTCTGGCTCTGTATAAATATCCAGACATGTACAGAATGGAGGTGTTAGGACGGACTAGTTAAAGTCCACTATTTTTTTATATGTAGCAGGATTGAATCACTGTTTTCACAGAAGGTACCGGAATTTGTCTCTAGGTGTGTAAATATGATATAGAAAGATTTTCTATGAACGTTTTTTTTATCCACCAACCTTTCCTTCCTTCCTTAACTTGTGTTCTATTACATTAAGTCCTAATATGATTAGCTTTAAGTAGGAATTATACCATGACAAGATATCTAGAAGGGCATTAGGGTAACAAACCTTGTTTAGGATCTGGGGAAGTGAGTAGCTGCTCCAAAGAGGGCAGAGGGGGGAGTTTAGGGGAAGATCTCTCCGTCTCAGTGGTCTCCATGCCTTCTCCCTCCTCCCTGGCCATTGATTGAAGCTCATTGAAAGCCATTGTTGACCCTGCTTGGTTCTGATCAGTGTTTCTCCGCTGAAGTTCTGATGCCAGGGCCTTACGGCTGGACTGAGCCGACACTTTATAAAAGACAAAAAAAACAATTCTTAAATTTCTCACTGCAACCACATTAAAATAATAACATTTAGCAAAACAAAGTGCCTAAGCCTGTATAATAAATACCAATAAGTTAAGATAAAATTAAGAAAACGATGTCTATTCTATGGTCCTCCAAAAAGCTTTTATGAGCTCTATGTTATTTAACACCAGCAACTCATCCTGCTAAACTGTAGCATCCAGTTGGTTCACAGCATAAATGTGTGGACAATGATGAGGAAGAGGGATGGTGCACCTGAGACAGTGGGAGGACAAACTAAAAGGCTGTGATTCATGAAGACTAAATCATTCCTTTCACTTTCCAACCTTCAGTATGCCCACCTCAACAGTTAAACAGATGTTGACCAGCAGAGGGTCTCATTGAGACGGAGGAGCAGACTCATTACTGCAACCCAGATTTTATAAAGACCTTTAATTGCAAAAAAAAAGGTTATTGACCATCCATAGTTATTCTGCTGCTGAAAATATATACAATTAATTCAAATTAAATATCCTTAACTAAGAATAATTGTTAACTTTTGTGTAAGGCAATACCAATACAGGATGGATGGATTCAGTTCAAGTGGTAAACTAGGAGTCACTTTGAAGCATAATCATAGCTAAGAGTTGAAAGAAAATATCAGTGTTTGCTCTGCTTTACATCAGATTTATGTGGACTATATAGAAATAAGCTAAAATCAAGCTGCAATTAAATCAAAAAATGTGATGAAATAAACTAATATTCCCTTAAATACGCGAGTACTGGCTCCATGTAATTGGCAGATATTGGCTTTTATGTGTGTGACACTAATGAGGAGTCTCTCCAGATGCCACCCGGACGTGTTTGCCACACTGTGAGGCGGGGAACAGAGCGGAGGATCCTTGCCAACACCTGGCCAAGCTGAAGTGAGAAGGAGCCCACACACACTTGCCTTTCCAAGTCATTACTTTGTGTATTTGGTGTTTGGCTCCAGAGGGCAGCTGTGTGGGAGGTGATGAATGAGCTCCTGTTGCTTCTCTGCTGATAAACATACTGATATCCTCACCCCTGTAGTGTCTCATCACGCCTCTCATGGAGAGGAAGAGTAAATAAGACAGAAACCTTCGACTATGAATAAACTGATACTTTCACTTCATCCTTAAACAGCAAACATCAAGAAATGTCAATGTAGGATTTTAACAGTATAATTCCTATGTGTTAGATCTTCTTTTTCTTCTCTTACCGTTTTGGCTCTGCAGGTTGAAAAGCTGCTCCTCCACACGGCTCAGCTGTCCCTGAAGCATCTCCACGGTGGCCCGGTGGTCATCCTGTAGCTTCCTCAGCTGCTCCCGGTAAGTTTGCCGCTGGGTCTCAACTTGGGACGACAGGTCAGCCTGAGCCTGGGACAGGTCTGACCTTAAGGACACATTCTCTGACTGCAAAGTCAAAACCCTGGAGACGGGGTCAGAGACAAGGAGTTAGACTCTGTTTCTTTAAGCTGATGGCCAGCTTCCTGTAGAGGGTAAGAGAGGTCTACAGTAATTAGTATTAAATGGACTTTATTTGATAAATCGATACAAAGTAGTTAATAACTGTAAAGCAAAAACTACCTGGTTCGAAAACCCCAACCCTGTTTCTATAAATAAGTACCTGAAAACATTGCCATTAGGGCTTCAACTAATGATTATTTTGCAACTCGATGAATCTGTCGATTATTTTTTAAATTAATAATCGGATAGCCAAAGTTTCCTTAAAGAAGATTTTTTATTAAATTAAACCAGGTGTAACTAAAATCTTTCCACTTTAGGAGCTCTACCTAGAGCACATTGCCAGATGAAAAATACAGGTGCTGGTCATAAAATTAGAATATCATGAAAAAGTAGATTGATTTCAGTAATTCCATTTAAAAAGTGAAACTTGTATATTATATTCATACATTACATACAAACTCATATATTTCAGATGTTTATTTTGTTTAATTTTGATGATTACAAATGACAACAAATGAAAATCTCAAATTCATCATATCAGAAAATTAGAATATTGTGAAAAGGTTCAAAATTGATGGCCCCTGGTGCCACACTCTAATCAGCTAATTAACTCAAACCACCTGCAAAAGCCTTTAAATGGTCTTTCAGTCTAGTTCTATAGGCTACACAATCATGGGGAAGACTGCTGACTTGACAGTTGTCCAAAAGACGACCATCGACACCTTGCACAAGGAGGGCAAGACACAAAAGGTCATCGCTAAAGAGGCTGGCTGTTCACAGAGCTCAGTGTCCAAGCACATTAATAGAGAGGCGAAGGGAAGGAAAAGATGTGGTCGAAAAAAGTGTACAAGCAAGAGAGATAACTGCACCCTGGAGAGGATTGTGAAACAAAACCCATTCAAAAATGTGGGGGAGATTCACAAAGAGTGGACTGCAGCTGGAGTGAGTGCTTCAAGAACCACCACACACAGACGTATGAAAGACATGGGTTTCTGCTGTCGCATTCCTTGTGTCAAGCCACTCTTGAACCACAGACAGCGTCAGAAGCGTCTTGCCTGGGCTAAAGAGAAACAGGACTGGACTGCTGGTGAGTGGTCCAAAGTCATGTTCTCTGATGAAAGTAAATTTTGCATTTCCTTTGGAAATCAAGGTCCCAGAGTCTGGAGGAAAAGAAGAGAGGCACTTCATCCACGTTGCTTGAAGTCCAGTGTAAAGTTTCCACAGTCAGTGATGGTTTGGGGTGCCATGTCATCTGCTGGTGTTGGTCCATTGTGTTTTCTGAGGTCCAGGGTCAACGCAGCCACATACCAGGAAGTTTTAGAGCACTTCATGCTTCCTGCAGCTGACCAACTTTTTGGAGATGCAGATTTCATTTTCCAACAGGACTTGGCACCTGCACACAGTGCCAAAGCTACCAGTACCTGGTTGAAGGACCATGGTATCCCTGTTCTTAATTGGCCAGCAAACTCTCCTGACCTTAACCCCATAGAAAATCTATGGGGTATTGTGAAGAAGAAGATGCAATACACCAGACCCAACAATTCAGAAGAGCTAAAAGCCACTATTAGAGCAACCTGGGCTATCATAACACCTGAGCAGTGCCACAGACTGATCGACTCCATGCCACGCCGCATTGCTGCAGTAATACAGGCCAAAGGAGGCCCAACTAAATACTGAGTGCTGTACATGCTCATACTTTTCATGTTCATACTTTTCAGTTGGCCAACATTTCTATAAATCCTTTGTTTTTATTGGTCTTCAGTAATATTCTAATTTTCTGATATGATGAATTTGAGATTTTCATTTGTTGTCATTTGTAATCATCAAAATTAAACAAAATAAACATCTGAAATATATGAGTTTGTATGTAATGTATGAATATAATATACAAGTTTCACTTTTTAAATGGAATTACTGAAATCAATCTACTTTTTCATGATATTCTAATTTTATGACCAGCACCTGTATACATTTTTTTAACTTAAATACAAAATGTGCATTTAGAAATAATTTTTTTAATAAGAATTTTGATATAATTGCTGCTCTAAGTGAGCTGTTCTGTTAGCTAAAGGCATGCTATACAGTCTCTGTACTCAATTTAAGGATTAATCGATTACTAAAATAGTTGACAATTATTTCAATAGTCGATTAATCATGATTAATCCTTTCAGCCCTAATTGTCATTAATTTCCCGTATTTGTTCAACAGAACCAGAACTCTTAGAAGACTTTCGATTATAGCTGAAAGTCTTCTAGGGTCTGGATTAACTGGCTTTGCAGATCTAGAGACTGGGATTTCTCCCTATTCCAATTTGAACTAAAACGCTGAGCCAGACTGGATGGCGAGGAATTATCAAGCCTTGCAGGAGCATCTGAATTAGATCTAGGTCCAGACCTTTTACTCAGCAATATACACTGCTTCTAAACATTACTAATTTTGTTCAGGGTCATTATCCTGGTTGAAGAGGAACCTTGTCTTCATTTTAGCTCCACTGACCTCCTTTCAACTATGATCAGTCAAGCATTTCATCAGCACGATGCTGCCATGTTTCACACTGGGGATATCGACAATGATTTAAAGAATGAAAATATAAAAAAAAATGCCCTTTTGCAAGTTGTCCAAGCAGTTCAATAATTGTGTTTGTTTTATACGACAAAAACTTTAAAAACTTTAGCTGCATCCACTGCATGGCTTACTAAAAAACAGGATTTCTAACACTTTAAGGCTATTTTCTTTCACTGCAAAAAATGGAAATCTATATAAGTAAATTATTCTTAAACTAAGTACATTTGATCTTGAATTAAGTAGGTAAGTAAGACCTTTTGCCAATGGAACAACACAATTTACATTTAAAATAAGAAAAAGCAACTTTATTGTTACGAGTGCATATTATCCAATTATCTTATATTAAGAGTAAAAATACCAATTCAATTGGCAAATCATCCCACTTACCTGCTAAAAGTAAGGGTAAATACACTTGCTTTAAAAAATTTCATTTCATTTTTGCAGTGTCCAAGCTATGTGAAGAGCAAAACTAATAGGCATCTTTGACAGATTTAACCACTTGAGCTGTAGCTCCTCAGGACTTAACACAGGTCTGTTAGCAGCTGCTTTGATCATTGCTGTTGTCATCCGGCCTGTTAGCTCAGGTGGATGGCCAACTTCTCTCAGATTTGCTATTTTTTTTTTCTTTTTACGTTTTGGGATCTTTATTTTCTATTTTTCAACATTGCAATCATGTGTTTATACAATCAGAGCTGATGCTATTAGATTTAATAAGCATGTGCACAACAGACTTTTCAGATTTTGATTTCAAAGAAATCTATTTTCCACTCTTTCACTCTCCACTTCACCATTACATATTTCTTTGTTTCGTTCTGTTGCATATATCCCTACAAAGTACATTTGACTTTGTGATCACAATGTGACACAATCACACAAGCACTCCAAGAATATGAATACTTTTGGAGTATGTCCCTTCATTTCAAATGACAGCGAATCTAGTGAAGCATGACAGATAAAATGAGGAAGCAAAACAAAAAGTCAAACCCAGACACTTCACCTTTCACGGAGCTCGGCCTCTTTGGTAACGTTTTCCTGCAGAATTTTGTTGTGTCGCTCCAGGAGGGTGTCATGTTCATTCTGGAGCTGCTGCAGCTCGGCGATGCTGCTCTGGAGGCTCTGCTGGCTCTCAGACAGTCTGCTCCTCAGCTGCTCAACCTGAGAGGCCAACTGCTCCCTGCAGGACACACTTCTATTACTTCTGTCTGACACATACTAATCAGTGCTGACTGCATCATGAACACCAATTTAATAACCTGTTCTCTTCTCTAATCTATACCTATTAAAACGTAGGATGAAAGATTGTACACCACTACCTGACTCACCGTTTCATTTCCAACCACTGAGCTGGAGTTAATCATACATCATCACTGACTGTTAGTTATGTGCAACAAACAAGAAGAAGTCCACAATCGTGTTCTGATTGCTTCCCTTCATCTTCTGGTCAGTTTGCTCTCACCTCTCCAGTTTGCCAGAGTCTCCTTCTGGCTGGGTGCTGCTTTTACTCTTCTGTTGTTTGAGCACGTTGTGGACTCGCACCTTGTAACCCTCAAACTCACTGGTCGTGGCCACAAGCTCAGCCTGAAATAGACAAATTAATTCACCTGAGATTAGCAAAAAAAAAAAAACGAACTCTAAAAATGTTTCGTATGTGTTAATAATGCGGGCTGCACATTGCCTTGCAGCTAGAACGTTCTGGGTTTGATTCCCCTCTCGGGGTCTTTCTGCATGGGGTTTGCATGTTCTCCCTGTGCATGTGTGGATTCTCTCCAGGTTCTCCAGTCAAAAAACATGACTGTTAAGTTAATTGGCTTCTCTAAATTGTCCTTAGGTGTGTGTGTGCGTGTGTGTGTGCGCGTGTGCATGGTTGTGTGTCTTTATGCATCTCTGTGTTGCCCTGTGACAGACTGGCGACTTGTCCATCGCCTCTCGCCCATAGACTGCCGTAGATAGGCACCGGTCCCACCATGACCCTGACAAGGATTAAGTGGTAGAAAGTATCTCGATGGATGTGAATGGGGCCACTTTGAGTAGAAATTAACGTCACTATTCTTAGAAGGACCTCATCTCCTCACTACTCATACATTTCTTTGGGGGGTGGCGGCAACTGATCATTTTCTATGCATTTAAATATTGTTTCTTCGGAACTGCCTGTCATTAAAGGGTTAATCCTGAGTTCACTGCAATACTGAGCAGCAGACATGTCGGCAGTTAACCATCCGTACTGTAAACATTTATAAAGAAGGCTAATGGACACTTGAAGCTTAAAATATAATCTGTCAATCTTTCTAATAAAAACCTTAGTTAAATACAGGGAATAAGTACATTTTCTAAATGGATCTCATTTATCTGTAGAACTGTGTTGCAAAAAACTCGACTGAAATTCTTAAGAGTTGTCAATATCCTACCTTCAGTGGGTTACAGCTTAAAGAACTTTAGAGAGAATAATAAGTGTTTATAGTTAAATAAAATACTATAAACAAGACTCACTCAAAAACATATTCTTATAATAAAAGTCCCAATTTAGAGTCTGATTGAATTTGCTGCCACTGGCAAGAATCATAACTGTTGCATTAAAAAGACAGACTTAAATCAGAACACCAAACAAGCCCCTTAAATCTAAACTATTACCTTCAGGTCGTATTTAAATCATTTTCTTTTCACATTAGGGGTCAAACAAATGGGCTGTTAGCAGCTATCATTTTAAGCACTCAAAACATGATGAATGTCTGACTGAAACACGGCTGACACTGTGTTCATAGGTAATTAAAACCAATTGGGAGATAAATTATGAAAAAAGTCATTCATTACTTTTCGCCTCATTTATCAATTGTTTCTCGTGAGCAGGAGCTGAGTTAATTTGTCATGCTTTTGCTCTGTGACATTATGACTTTTTATTTTTTTTTTACACCACATTTAGGTAAAAAAAAGCTGAGAACAAAACTAAAAATGAGAGCGTTCAACATTTGCACCTTTGCAGTGTCCCTTTCCTGCTGCAGGCTTTGGATGCGCTGCTGCAGGGAGCTGCTGGTTCTCTGCTGCTGCTCCAAAGCAGACTTCAGCTGCTCCTGCAGGCGGTGGCGCTCGGCTGTCAGCTCACACATCTCAATCTAAGCAAAAAAAAGAGAAAAATTATAGAACGGAACAAGACTTTGAACAAAATAGGTAGAGAATTTTTTATTTTTTTTACCTTGGAGCTTTCGAGCTGCTGTTGGTTCGCTTCCAGCTCTCCTTTCAGAGACGCCTGCTGCATCATGAGGGAGCTCTCCTGCATGCATGAATACACGCAGGTATAATATTAGTAACTATTCTCAATATCTTCCAAGGCCTTCTCCAGTCACCCTTACTTTTGCTTTCATCAGAGCGGCACAGTAACAGCAAATCCTTAGGGATACACTAACAGTGACTCTAAATCATGTCACGGTCTCTGCATTAAACTGACTATATCAAGGCCTTTGTTATTTGCATGTTTACATTTGATCACTGCTGCACTTTGACAAATGGAAATGTCATGAGAGCTGTACAAAACAAAATTTCAATAAAGTTTGTCTAAAATAACAGAAACACAGACCTGTTTTTTGGCATCTGCCAAATCTTTCTTGGTTTTCACCAGCAGCTGCTTTATCTTCATAGTTTTCTCTTCCTCCTGGTCCAGCTGAGACTTCAAACTCTCTGGAGACGCATAAAATCATATCAGACATGTGCAGACATGAGACATGAGACATCAGAACGCCAAAACAGCAACAGGCCAGTTTTAACAGAAGATAATATTGTCAACCTAAACATCCTAAAGTCTCAGGTCAATCTTCTCTCACTAAATATTAAAGGTACAGTGGAGGATTTTCGTGAAATTTTAAAGGAGCCGCACTCTCCACTTAAAAAAAAAGCACATGCACAACCCTGTACCCACTCCTGAGAGGGAATGCCTATTAAACGTATGCGAGAGCGTGCACAAGCCCATTTCTCCTCATGCGCGCTCTGTTTAAAAGTTGCTGTTTGCATCGCTCATACAAGCTTACTTTCAAAAAGATTTGCAATTTTCCACTATGTCAGACTCACCAGCGGTAAGTAAAAATGGGGACGAACACCTAGGATGGCCTTACAACTAGGAGGACCACCTATTTTGATCAAAAAATATATCCTCCACAATACCTTTAGGTCTCAGGGCTTCTGACTGCTACATTTAATAAATGGGTGCATCCTAAACAATTAGAACTTTATCTAAATGTCATTTACTTCAGAAATCCATTTGACAAAGTCAAACTCACATAGACTGATGACACAAAGAGCTATACGTTTGAATAGTGGCTTCAGTTTGATAATGATGTTTTGATAAGGTTTGAAACATGGACCTTTTTCAAACTCTTTGAGAGGTGTTTCCTTACAATCCTTTCAAGCCTACAGGTTGGTTTAATAAAAAAAAATAAAAATGCTTTTGCTGAAATAGAGTAAAGCTTTGGGAATATATTCTTATCTATCAGCATGTTCCCATGTTAATTTGCGATTAAAGTCCAATCATTTTGGGTTTTATTGTTTATTATTTACCTCAATAAACATTGAATAAAGATTTTTTTTTTCTCCTATATTTATTGTATTATTATTATTTTTTTGCTTGCCACCGTTATGGCTGTTATTTCCCTGGCTCCATCCGTCCATCTTTATAACTGTTGTGACCTGAGCTGGACACCTCCTGTCATCCAGTGAGTAAATTAAGTCTATTCAGCAGCAGGAGGAACATTTCCCTTTCTCTAAACCAAATCTGACCTGACAGTGTAAAGGCAACCAGACGACTACTCAGAACCTGTTAATGAAAAAAATACATTCATCATTTGAGATTTTAAAACCTGAACATGCATCTCATACCAATCTCCTGTTTGTGGGTCTCCTGCGTCTGGCTGAGGGTGTTAATCTGGGCTTTCAGCTCCTCCACACACTCATCTTTCTCTGTCAGTTTTCCATTTAGTTCTTTCACCAGACGTTCGTAGTCGGCCATCTCCATGTCCAGCAGGGAGCTCTGCTGTGCCTCCTAGTGGCAAAGTCAACACACTACATCATGACTAAGAAGACATAATAAAAAGATGCATTTTTACTTACAAATATTTATCTTAACAGAATTTAAATTTTACATTCCTATAGTCTGTTTGAAGAGAGTACCATTTAATCATGTTCTGGAGATACTGTCTGATTGTATTGGGAATAGAGGAACATGGTTGTTACCTAGATCTACAAGGACATGCAAGGTTTCTAGTATAGACTCAGAACAATATGGTACTTGACCTTAAAAAAACCTTTGGTTTATTTTTAATGTCAGAATAAAATGCAAATAGATAACTGCTTATTAGACTCCCACTGTTAGTCTATGATAAAAGAATTATTAAAATGCAGGATCAAAAAGTACAACTAACTTCAGCTGAGGTTTATTACCGTAAACATATTTGCTTAAGTCTACAAAAAGAATCATCAATTAATAAACTTTAGGGAAATTTTTTTTCAATTTTAAAAGAGCTAATTTTTTATTTTTATTTTAAATTTTTAGCTGAATACCGATTTCACTGTAAAATCCTTTTAGTTATACCTAAATAAATCAGACTGGGAGAATCTAATGCCAACCAACAGTCTGCTACCTTCACCTGATAACATTAAACTAGAACATGTTTTTTTTTGTGTTTACAGACCAAATTAAGAAGGAAAATTTGTTAATTTTGATTATTAAAATGGAGAAATATAAAATCCCTGTCATTGGTCAGAGCCAGTCAGGAGAAAATTGGTTGATTCTAGGGATGCACGATATTGGGATTTTGGCCGATATCCGATATGCCGATATTTTAAAACTCATGTAGCCGATAACCGATATTGATACCGATGTTAAAGCTGGACAAAAATAAGTAGTCATTGAAAATAGCAGTTTTGTTATCCATTTCTGACACTTTGAAAAATAATATACTCAAATATATTTTCATATGCTGATATCAAATTGATTTTTAAAAACGCGGTATCGATCTATTTTACTTTCAAAATCTCGTGAAATTTCATCGTTTTGTTACAAACTCTCGCGATATTTTGCAAATTCTTGTGAAATTTTGTTGGTAAAATAGATCCATACCGCGTCAATATATCAACATATAAAAATATGGCCAAATTTTGTGAATTTTCGGGGGATTTCGTAGCATAACGATGACATATAGCAATATTTCATTAGTAAAAGAGATTGATATGGTGTTTTTAAATGGCAATATATCAGCATATGAAGATATTGTGATATTTTAATGTATCAATATTTTTTCCCTCGTCTTTAGAAGTTTTTAAGCCTGTAAAAAAGAAGATTTTGAGGAAGAAGAAGAAGTAGTATTATTTTTTTTTTTTTTAGACTTTAGAAACTCAGAAGCTGATGAAATATCGGGTTAAATATTGGTGGGGTGGCCGATGTCCGATATTCAGTTTTAAGGCCGATACAGGCTGATACCGATAGGGGGCCGATTATATTGTGCATCCCTAGTTGATTGATCTGTGAATCCCTAAAAAGATAAGATGCTTTTTACTCATTAAATGCTTAGAAATACTATCCACCATGTAAATAAACTGAAAAAAGTAAATTAATTAAATTAATTTATCCTGCACAATGCAAGGACTCTTAAATATAATTTTGGAACAAACATGACAAGAGCACATATCACGCTTTTTCTTAAAATAAAAGTGCATTACCAGGAGAAATTCAGTTTCACTGGATGAATCAACAAAGACAAAGTCAGAGCTCCAGGCAGCTTTCATGTATTCTGCTGTACTATGTAGGTCTCCACTAATGGAAAAGAAACAGCAGCTCCTTCTCCTGCAGGCTAAAGCTTTTTCTCAGGGTGCCACCATAGCTTCAGGCCGGCCATCTCTAGCTCAGTTGTTAGAGCTGACCCGAGACACACTCGGCCTGACAAACACTTGTGTTTTTGCGTACTTTGCGTAGCTGTTCCAGCTCCTGGGCGGTCTGCTGAGACTGCTGCTGCTGCTTGTGGAGCTGAGCTGTCAGCTCCTCCACTTCCTTCGTGGCAGATGACAGGTCCTGGAGGGGTAAGCAATCACTTTCAGCATGTCAGTAAACCATACCACTACCCCGCTAGATTCAATCAGATTAAATTATTGACTTATATGATCTAATTCTGGTGATTTATGAGCTGAAAATATATGTTATTAACTATGAAAGAAGCATTTCTGATTGAATTGGACATACATTTAAAGCTGGCCTAAAAATGTATAAGATTATTAAATACATTTGAACTTCCATCTCTTTTAATCTTTACCTTCAGCTTCTGTTCTTTCATGGCTCTTTCAGCCAGCAGGTCTCTATCCAGGCTTGCTAGCTGTTTCTGCAGCTCCTGATTCTTGGCCTCCAGCTGCTTCACTGTGCTCCTCATGGTCTCCACCCCGGCCAGGAGATCCTCCTTCTCACTGCTCAGCGTTTCCTTCTGCAAAAAGGATAACACTCATACTTCTATCTATCATAGTTTTTAAATCCAGACATTTAGGCCATTTTTTTCAGTATTGTAAGCCGATTTTGATTTTGCTCTAAAGTATGGATAGACCAAAGTTTTCCATCAATTTACTGCAAATATTGAATCAAATACTTAACCTGCAAAACACAGATGTTCAAAGACGTGGATAGAGATGGAAGGATAGATGGAAGGCAGCTGGAAGGATGAAATAAATACAGACAGATGCCTGATGGATATATGAACAAAATATGGACAGAAAACATATGGATTGATGGATGGATGAAATACAGGAGGACAGACAACTGATGGATGGATAAAAGAAAGGTAGATGAGTGATGGATTGATGGATGAGTAATAGATGGACAGAGGTTTTATAGAAGAATGGCTCAATATAGGAACAAATGGATAAACGGAATCAATTTAGGTGATGGATTCTGAATTTTAGAGATTCTGATTTCATATTTTGCACACCACTAGAAAGGTAATACAGTCTAGAAAGAGAAAACTCTGCTTTTGCAAGTTATTTATACCTGGAAAGGTCTGAGATTGAACCTTTTCCAGGTCTGGATGAGAAATAAAACAAAGTAATCATAACAGCCATTGTTGATTCTCTTCTCTGACAAAAAATCAGTAATTCCCACTATCATATACAGTTTTTCTTTTTTTATGAGATCAACAGACCATCTCTTAAAAAGAATAATAAAATAAAAACAGACATAAAAGAGGAGTTTATCTTCCTTTAGTGTTGAGTTTTTCTTTTTGGGAGACGTGCTTGTAGTCAAACACACCAAACCAAGGTGTTTCTGAAAAACCATCCATGCGAATCTGACATGAGTGAGCTCTGTGGGGGTTTTCTCCAGACAGGATCCTCAACAAGCAGCGGCTGCAAACGTCTCCAGGCAGCTGTCAGCCAAACACTAAATCAATGATGGGTAAACGGAGACGTACGCAGAGATCACTAACTAGCTTCGCCGCGCGCGAGCCCACTGAGAACCTTGGGCTCATAAGAAACCTCAGGAAACGGCGACGCACCAGAACACAACAGATGGAAGCTATACCTCGCTCCATTTACCTGCCTGTTCTCTCATTGGAAAGAGACAGTTATGAGCTTTTGAGGGGGGGCAGAAGAGTATATATATACAAAAACAATTTCTCCCTTGCTCACCCAGTCACAACTGATGGCCTATTTGTGGGTGCCGGGCTCCAGATATATCTGGGAAACATGTAGCCGGCTAAAATGACTCTGTAAATCATATGGAAACTGAGTTATGCTCCCAGTATTGCCGGACACCGTCTCCCAGCTAAGATTTACAGCAGGCTGAAAGCATTTTGTTTGTTGCATACGTGTGTAAGTGATTGAGTGTGTATCCCAGTTACCTGTGTGACAGCACTGCTGAGTCGCTTGGTCAGCTCAGCAATCTGTCTCTCTGCAGCCTCCACCTTCTCCCTCTCCTTATCCAGTAGCTCGGTCTGCCTGTCGTAATCTATCTGCAGGTTCTAAACACACGCACACGTCTTCAATATTCATTACCGGAGGTCGGTTGAACAAGTCGGTGAAGGCAAACACTATGCATCACACATATCAGATGCATTTACGTTTGGCTGTGGGACAAAACTTTCATTAGACACAACAGAGCGCTTCCCTCTTTAACAGAGACACAGCTGTAAAGGGAGCTGCACGCTGGAGGGCGTTTATGGACACCGCTGGGAGTCATATCACCTTTTCTCTGCCTCTGCTTTCCAATTAGCTACAAACTGTGTTTAGAAGGCATGAGAAAAGGAAATGAATCAAATTTGTTGGTTTTATTTTAAGCCGATTCGCTTTAAAAAAAAAGAAAAAAAAAAAAGGTGGCTTTAGGTCTGCTTTTGCAAATCTATAGATTCACAGTTTTGCTAATTCTGTTTTATTTAAATACTTTCAGCTTAATAAGATTAGTTGAGGTTTGTTTCTTTCTCAATTAGCTCTACGTCTGAACTTTACCCCCATTAAGCTGCTCTTAAACGTGATCTGCTGTGGGGTATCAGAGTAAGGGGGAAAAAAGCAAATCCAGAACCTTGAGAGAAGCCAAGTTTTGTAACCTGTCAAATATAGGAACCTTTGTAAATTGGTTCTAATGAACACAGACATTTTCCTTGGAGTGTTTTAAAGGCGTCTCCAGCACCATTAGGAGTGCACCGATTGATCAAACATAAAAGGATTAGGATCAAATTCAGTACATCCTACCTTATATCCTTCAGCTCCATGAATGATATCTTTCATTGAACTGTTGTTTTTTTCTCGCTCAGCTTTTAGTGATGCTACTTCCTCCTTGAGGGTAACGATCTACAAAAAAGAAAATGCAATAAGTTGTAACTTTAGTATTGAACATTTATTAGATAGTTGAAAACATAAAAACCTCAGAAAGATTGACGCATCCATAACAAGAGACAGTTCACAGATTATTTTGGAGCCCTAAAACTAAATAAAACTAAATATGTTCATTCCCTGTTGATGGTTCTAAAATTAACTTAAGGCTGGGATTTTTTAGAGACAGGAATTTAATTAAAGGTTTTATAATTATTAAGAATCTCACTGCTGAGGAAAGTATGCTAAGCTGATTGTAACTCATGCAACAAATAGCTGCCGAACCAAGATCAAAGTATGAAGAGTTAGAATAAAGACATCCACATCCGACTTCAGCGAAACACTGTAAACCAAAAGGAGAAATCTCACTAACTGCTCCAAGATGAACCACTTTGGAAAGATTTACTTTAAGAAAAGCTAAATATCTAGCAGAAATGATGATAAAAAAAGAGTCTCAATGTAATGAATTAGGGTGCATGTAGCTTCATACTTATTATTAAAGAGATAGATACACATTTAGTCATTGTTGCTCTCAGTTTTATATTGAGTTCTCAGCTGATGCCTTTTTATTAATGTGTTTATCCTTTTTATTTTGTTTAACACTACAGTAGCATGACTTCGCCTGAGAATGGGGACTATATGGGCACTAATGGTTAGTGGGAGCCAAAGAGAATACTCTATGTGGTACCTAAGTAATTCATTAAATCAATTAACAGAAAGAATATATATATATATATATATATATATATATATATATATATATATATATATATATATATATATATATATATATATATATATATATATATATATATATATAAGTGGGGGGATAATCAGTGCATACGTCTTAATATAAAAACAAAATTCCCCTCGGCTTAATTGAATAGTTGTGAGAAAGCTTTAAAGAGAACGGAAGGGAAACGTAAAAAAAAAAAAAAAAAAAAAAGAGAGTTGCACCACAAAGTGGAGTTACTGTGTAAAGTAAATAATAAAGCTAGGCTTATAATACAAAAACATTTTAGAGTGAAAAATAAATGCCTTTTATGATTCAGAAGTTCCTTTATTGCAGGGAGAAAAATATTTTTTTGACCCCCTGCAGATTTTGTTAATTACTTTTAAAATGATTTTCTAAGCCAGTAACAAAGAAATTATAAGTCCGACAATCCAAATGGAAACAGAGAGAGATCAATTTGGAAATAAAAAATGCATAAAAAAAAGCTTTACACCTACAGGTGCTGGTCATAAAATTAGAATATCATGAAAAAGTAGATTGATTTCAGTAATTCCATTTAAAAAGTGAAACTTGTATATTATATTCATACATTACATACAAACTCATATATTTCAGATGTTTATTTTGTTTAATTTTGATGATTACAAATGACAACAAATGAAAATCTCAAATTCATCATATCAGAAAATTAGAATATTGTGAAAAGGTTCAAAATTGATGGCCCCTGGTGCCACACTCTAATCAGCTAATTAACTCAAACCACCTGCAAAAGCCTTTAAATGGTCTTTCAGTCTAGTTCTATAGGCTACACAATCATGGGGAAGACTGCTGACTTGACAGTTGTCCAAAAGACGACCATCGACACCTTGCACAAGGAGGGCAAGACACAAAAGGTCATCGCTAAAGAGGCTGGCTGTTCACAGAGCTCAGTGTCCAAGCACATTAATAGAGAGGCGAAGGGAAGGAAAAGATGTGGTCGAAAAAAGTGTACAAGCAAGAGAGATAACCGCACCCTGGAGAGGATTGTGAAACAAAACCCATTCAAAAATGTGGGGGAGATTCACAAAGAGTGGACTGCAGCTGGAGTGAGTGCTTCAAGAACCACCACACACAGACGTATGAAAGACATGGGTTTCTGCTGTCGCATTCCTTGTGTCAAGCCACTCTTGAACCACAGACAGCGTCAGAAGCGTCTTGCCTGGGCTAAAGAGAAACAGGACTGGACTGCTGGTGAGTGGTCCAACGTCATGTTCTCTGGTTTGGGGTGCCATGTCATCTGCTGTGTTGGTCCATTGTGTTTTCTGAGGTCCAGGGTCAACGCAGCCACATACCAGGAAGTTTTAGAGCACTTCATGCTTCCTGCAGCTGACCAACTTTTTGGAGATGCAGATTTCATTTTCCAACAGGACTTGGCACCTGCACACAGTGCCAAAGCTACCAGTACCTGGTTGAAGGACCATGGTATCCCTGTTCTTAATTGGCCAGCAAACTCTCCTGACCTTAACCCCATAGAAAATCTATGGGGTATTGTGAAGAAGAAGATGCAATACACCAGACCCAACAATTCAGAAGAGCTAAAAGCCACTATTAGAGCAACCTGGGCTATCATAACACCTGAGCAGTGCCACAGACTGATCGACTCCATGCCACGCCGCATTGCTGCAGTAATACAGGCCAAAGGAGGCCCAACTAAATACTGAGTGCTGTACATGCTCATACTTTTCATGTTCATACTTTTCAGTTGGCCAACATTTCTATAAATCCTTTGTTTTTATTGGTCTTCAGTAATATTCTAATTTTCTGATATGATGAATTTGAGATTTTCATTTGTTGTCATTTGTAATCATCAAAATTAAACAAAATAAACATCTGAAATATATGAGTTTGTATGTAATGTATGAATATAATATACAAGTTTCACTTTTTAAATGGAATTACTGAAATCAATCTACTTTTTCATGATATTCTAATTTTATGACCAGCACCTGTATGTCGCCCTGTGTTTCATGTAAAAATTAAAACTATTTTTAGCTTCAAACATGACGTCCCTCTATGGAAATCTTAGGTGGCCGAGAGGTTCAGTCATTTAAATAAGAAATGTTTGACTGGGGACACGTCCAAGAGCTGCAGGACACTGGACCTCAGGACTTTACAGTTCCATCTCTGAACTCAAATCCCTCCATTTTTGGGTAAATGTTCTCTTTAATGACTCTGAGATATTAAGAGTTCATAGACCAGGCCTGTCCACTAGAATCTTAATGTAAAGGGCCCTTAATTTTCCTTATCAGAGAATTGATGTCCAAAAGCCAAATGTTCGAACTAAAGTGCCAGAGGCTGCATTTTCTCCCCAATATAAACATCAAAATGAACAGATGCTCACTGGCAATAGTATCAGAGGCCAAGATTTCAATTAATTCACTCATGAATATGGTGAAAATATCCAATCCAATCCAACTTTTTTTATATAGCACTTCAAAAAGCCAATAGGACCAAAATGCTGCACAAAAGCAGAAATAAAAAAAATAAAAAAATAAATCAACTAAAATTAATAAAAAAAAAAAAAATCCACTAAATAAGTATAATGCCAATATGGAAAAAAGAAAAAAGAAAAACACATAAAATCAACGAACAACAACCTTCTTTTGAGGATTAAATGCCAGAAAGAAAAGATGAGACTTTAAAAGATATTTAAAAAGGTTCAAAGAGGAACCCTGACATGCAATGGCAAACCCTTCCAGAGTATGGGACCGGCTACAAAGAAGGCCGGGTCCCCTCTGAGTTTACACCTTGTTGTATGTACTGACAGGAGTAATTGGTAGGCTGAACTAAAGTAAGGCCATTTAAAGACTAGAAACTAAAAAGAAGTGAACCTTAAACTGGGGATATATGTTCAAACGTATGTGTCCCAGTTAAAATTCATGCAGTAGCATTTTAAACAGTCTGCAGATTGGCAACTAAAGATCTACAACATATCACTATCTCAAAATTTCCTTTGCGATTCAACAGTTTTTGTTGAATCGCCTCATTGGGACATAGACTATTGTCTGCATAATGGTGAAAAGTGACCCAAAGCTTCCTAAGAATGGATCCAAGAGGGAGCAGATAAAGAGTTAAAAGAAGACAGAACCCTGAGGAACCCATATAAAAATGGAGCAGTGGAGGACACAGAATCTCCCAGACTGACATAAAATGTTCGATCACTCAGGTAGGACCTGAATCACTGCAGAGCTGTTCGTTAAATTCCCACCCAATGCACTAAAATCAAGATAAAAGGGTATAATGATCCACTGTATCAAATGCTGAAATTTTGAAGTTTTAAATTTAATTTAGGTTTATTTTTTTACTTTTGTTTGCAGCCATTTGAGGTATTTTCACTATAAATAATATTGACCATTATTATTACTATTATAGTTTAATAGTGTGGAGTAAAAATGTTGAGCTATGTCTGTTCTTAGCTTCACAGGCTCCATACGAAGATCATGAGAGATAATAATGAGTTGACACAGCCTCCTTCATGGCATGAAGGGGAGGACTGCTGTTTTCTGGCCAATGAAAGATAAATTAACCTAACTGGGAATGGCATTGATGAACTGAAGTTGTTTTTCCTCCAAATGTTCGTGTGTGAGAAAGTTCTTTATGCAGGGGTGGTTCCATGGGAGAGAGAGTGTTGGGATTTTGTAAGGTATAAATGTATGTACTGAGGTTGCCCCAGTCGGAGCTCTCTCCGTCTGAGGACGTTAAATAAATTTGAACATCCTCTTGCAAGAGTCTCAGTTTCTCCTCAACTTCACGATAGTCATTATCATTATTACCTCCAACTACATGCCCCTCAAACTGCCAGAAGAACATGCGATCTCTCATTTAAATTGAGCGCCAAAATGGAACCTATTTACATGTCTATCTTTGCAGATCACCTCAATATGCCCACAATTTGCCCTGGAGTGCTTCTTGTTTGGAGTCTTTGAAGATCAGGCCCATAGCGAGGCTAAGAACTGGCAGATCTGTAACTGGCTGAGCATAATGTGTGCTCCACATGTAAACATAACCAATCCAAGGAAATCTGAATTCAGCCTGAATGTAGAAATTCTAACCCTTGTTTTTTTTAAATGCATAAAACTACCCTAAAAATTAGAAACCATCGACTTCGTTCTCAGAGAAACTGAGGAACTCCACCATGAAGAACTTTCCACACTGTATAATCTTTCCTGTAAAGAAACACCACATCCATGTTCCTAATAAAAATAATAAGTCTCACATCAAGCTTTTAGATGTGATAGAAGTAATCAGACTACCTCCTTCTTGCTGTTGTCCAGCTCCTTCTTTGCTTTAACTGCGACTGCCTTGATTTTGTTGATCCTCTCGTCCTTTTCTTTGATTTGGTTTTCGAGGAGACCTGTGGGAAGATGAAGTCAGAAAGTCTGAGTGGAAGCGTTCAACAGAAGGTTGATTACGTAACAGATTTTGAAGGACTGCTTATTGATTTAAAGAAAATGGATGGGAGAAGTCGTCGCACCTAATTTCTTGCTCGTCTCGTTGGCTTCGTTTTCCTCTGAGGTAGCAGACTGGGAATTAGATTCCTGTGAACCGAAAAGAGAAAAAGGTTTCAGATGTTTTGCTTAAACCAGAACGATATCTTTGCTGAGGAAGGTTGTTCATAACCAGTTGTGATGAGATGTTCCACCCACCTGGAGGGCGGTTATTTCACTTCTTAGCTGGGCTACCAGAGAGTCCTTCTCTGCCAGCTGGGTTTCCCATTGCTCCTTCTCTTCCTGAGCCTGAGAAATTTGAGCCTGGAGTTTCTGGTTCTCATCATGAATCTTCTCATTAACTGACTTCATATCTTGGAGATCTCTCTGCAGTCCCTCTACATCTTTTACTACCTCCTCCAGATTCCCTCTCAACATGTTCCGCTCCTTTTCCAGGTCTCTGATGTGAGCCTCCAAGTCTGTTTGCATCTCCCCTCCTCTTTTCTCAGTTTCCAACTCTCCAAGGTTTCTCTTCAACATATTTCTCTCCTTTTGGAGCTCATCGACACGTACTCGGAGCTCTTCAAGCTCCTCGGTAGACTTGTTGAGCGCTTCAGATTGACCTTCCTCCAGCAGCTTCACAGAAGCGCTGGCTTTGTCTGCCTCCTCCATGACTGACCTTAACCTCTCCTCTAGTTGTTCCTTTTCAGCTCCTCTCTCCTCCAGCTGAGCCTCCAGGTTTGCCAGCTTGGAGGCCAGAAGCTCCCCGTCTTTCTGAAGCTTGGAGATTTCTGATAAAGCCTCCTCCCATTTCTGATGGAGCTCATCCTTCTCTGTGGAGAGCTGCTTGATTCTCAGCTCCAAATTGGAAACCGTCTCCTCGTGAATTGACATCTTCTCCTTTAGGCTTTCTTCCAGCTTTTCTCTTTCCTCATTTAGATGTTTTATCTTATTGTCCATTTGTGTTCTCAAACCTTCCACCTGCTTGCTTTTGTTCTCTTTAAGTAAAAGTGCTTCTCTTTCCTTCTCCACCATCAACATCTCAATTTCTTTTGTTTTCTCATCAATCAATTTTTGCACTTCATCTTGTTTGCGCTTGAGCTGGTCTTGCAATTTATCCCGTTCTTCCGACAGCATAGAGACCATTTCTTCCAGGTCTTGAATTATGTTCTCCTTCATCTTCAGCTGGGATAAGATCTCTTCGTTCTGAGTAGTCAGCTCCTCCACCGTCTGTTTTAAGGTTTCTTCTTCTGTGGATGTAGAAAGTGTCTGTTTTTCAGCAGGGGGGTGCTCTAGTTTTTGCTGAAGGTCCTCCATATTCTTCAGCATGTTTTTCTCCTCTGTGACATCAGTCAACCTCATCAGTAGCTCATCTCTCTGTTGATTCAGCTGCTCGATCCTCTCCTGAAGTTCTTGCACCGTGTTGGCTCCCTTTTCTTTCATGGCGATGTACTGTTGAACAAAGTCTTTGGTCTTCTGTCCCAGCTCTGTCTCCACATTCTGAAGTATGTCTCTCATGTTCTGGCACTCCGCTAAGGCAGAGTCTCTTTCTCTAGTTAAAGCCTCACATCTGCTTCTCAGCACCTCATTCAGGGACTCCTGGTCACCGGCTGATGTGCTAAATGTGTTTTTTAGTTCTGCTTGAACTTCAGGTTGCTCAGGTTCAAGCTTCACCAAAACCTCAGTGGAAGGACTATCTCTAATCATTTGGAGCTCATCGATTTTAAACTCAAGCTCCTCTTTTTCCAGCTGGAACTCCTCTTTGAACTTCTCCAGCTCTGCCTCCAGCTCCCCCTTCACATTACGGAGCAGTGTGAGCTCGTCCTGCAGCATGGTGTTCTGAGACTGAAGATCATCCAGCGCCAGCCTCAGCCTGCTTGAGTCGCTCTCTGCTCCATCACTCTGAGCTTCAGCCGGTTTGCAGCCAGACAGCTCCAGCATTTTGGCGATCCCAGAACTACGGTTGGGATTCTCATCTTCCTCCTGAACATCTTGCAGGTGGCTGTCTGCAAAACACAGAATAACAATCTTATATCTGCCAATTAATTCATTTTACAACAACTCTGCATCAGTTCTGTTAGAGTATTTACAGCCATCTGTATTTTAATTGTGTGGGGTGCTCCAGGCTTGAAGTAGGAGTCAGCTTTTCTTCAAAACTAGTTTGTTGTTACTTAGAAGCAATTGTCCATTTTATTAGGCTACATCATTATATATTATGCAACTCTGCAATTAAAAATTACATATTTATTCGGTGATGACAGAACTACCGATCATTACACCTGCAGCTGGTGTGTCAATAACAGGGGACACTGCATACCGAGTTACCGACAACAAAGAACAGTCAGTGAATTCTATGTGAAATCAAGCTACTGTTGAAATAACATCTGGAACAGAAAATTGATAGAAAGTTAGACACATAGACTCGCATTTATATAACTTAATGTTGTTGCACCTTGGCTTTGTTGTTACATCCAACGTGAAATGTTAGGGTTTGAATGACTCTGTCAAATTAGAGGTTTGCCATCAGTGAATGCCTTCCAGTCAATGAGTCGATGCAATCAACTGGTTTTCCTTAGACAGAAAGCTTTGAGTCAATCTGACTGTTTGATCTGGTTGAATTGTCTCTGTAAAGTGCTTGAGATGAGATGCTAGTAGATATTAAGTCATCCAGGTCATAGTAATTCCAAAAAGCTTGCAATATCCGATACTGGGCTTTGCCTCTGAAAGGGGGCTAACAAAGAACCCAAAACGACTCCCCATTCCTAAAAGGCGAACCCATTCTTCTGGTTCAATTCACATGTTTTTGGGCTACTATATAAAAGCTTCAAGTCAACCATAATTCTGACATTTTTAATTGAAAAAACTTCCTGGATGGGAAGCAAAATGTCTTCAAACCTGGAATCCAAGTCCAGTGGATTGTTTTTTTTTTTACTTGAGATGACATGTGCTTTGAATTAGTGCTATATTAATAAACTGAATTGAATCAACATTTTTACTATATGTTGTATGAAAGAGATGGAATGTGATAAAGGGATGAAAGATGTAGTCTGGAGAGTACAGGTTTGCATGAGTATTAAAAGGAGATGTTGGAGAATTGTGTGTCTTGTTGGTCGATGGTGAACTACTATTACCAATTTACACATACTGTACCTCTTGCCTCCAACAGTGGTTTTCATCCACTGTTTTTGGATCTAATTATTTTAGTTTTTTAATTCTCCAACTATTTTTATGTCTATAACAGTGGAACCATGTCATTTACAGCTCTTGTGATTTAATCCCCACTGACCCTATAATCGAGCCTCTCAGCTCTCAGAACCATGATCTCTGAACTAGTAAAGTTTTATTTCTTTGTTTTTTTCTTTGTTTGTTTTGTGAATGGCAAGCATGAAAAGTCGTACCCTTATATTGCATGAATGGGGCAGTAAATATGCAGAAATATATTTTCCAGGCACGAGCACTCACTTATTAACATGTGGATGCATCAGGTTTGCGAGGATCATTTACAATGATTAACTGAAGCTAAGAATGTCTTTTGAATCTGATGTGTCGCGTAGATACAAGCCCATGGTAGGATAAAAAGTAAGAGAAATTCCTCACCACAAGGATATAAAAATGATGTTACAGGCCCACAGTTTTCTGTGTTAAATAAATTTTTTGGTGAACTGTCTGTTTGAAATAAAACTCAGTTCTTATTCCTTCATCTTTGACTTGTCTGCCGTCATCTTTGGTATTTATGTTTACTGTCGTAAATGTTCTTTAATAAACTTTTAAGCATTCAATCATTTTTATTTATGATGATACAAATTTCATACAGATGGACAATTATTTTTTGCTAAAATACATGTGAGCGACAGTGGTGTCAGGTGTAGGAGTTTGCCCTGAAATCGAAGGAATGACGTTTCAAGCCCCTACTCGCTTCTGTCAGTGAGCCCCAGGGCAGCTGTGGCTACAGTGTAGCTTGTTACCATCAGTGTGTGAGTGTGTGAATGGCTGAATGTAGTGTAAAGTGCTTTGGTCAAGTCTCCTGACTTGATAAAGAGCTATATAAGTACAGGCCATGTACATGTATTGATCACACTTGATTTTATTTAGGGTTAAGACACTAACTATGTAATCACACTACAGTGTTCAGTCTAAGATGTAGGACTGTTTAAAAAAAAAAAACATATACAAAATAATTTCAGAATTAACCACCACTTTGTGTTGGTCTGTCACGTAAGCCGCCCAAAAATTACTTTGACTTTTTTGTTTGAAATGTAAAGTTCTGTTTTATCTATTTTTTCTAAACCAGGAAAGAACCACTAAATAAAGAAAAACGGGGTTTAAGCTTAGCCCTAACCAGATAAGTTAAACCTAAAACAGAAAAAAGTAACTTCACTTGCGGTTTACCTTTTAAAGCAAGCTGCTCAGTCAGCTCCTCTGTGAGCAAAAGGAGACGATCCCTCTCGATCTCACAATCCTCCTCCAAAGCTCTGATTTCCTCTTCATGCTGAAGAGTCTTCTGAGCGAGGTCCTCCTTCAGATTCTCCACCTCCTGCTGGGCCTTTGTCAACTCCTTTTGGTAGTTCTCCTCCAACTGAGCCATCTCCTCAGACTGTCTGTCTTGGATCGCCTTCATTTCATCTCGAAGGGCTTCCAGTTGAGATTCGAAGGAACGTTTGACTTCTTCTGCTTTCTCTTCAGCACTTGCATATTCTGCTTTGCGCTCCCTCTCTCTTTCATTCTCCCTTTCTCTGTCTCGTTCCTCTCGCTCTTGGAGTAACTTCTGGAAATTAGTTACTTCTTTCAGGTGTTTGTGTCTGGATTCCTCAATGCTGCATTCTAGAGTTTTGATCTTTCCTAGGTGGTCTTCCAGAACACCTTGATGTTTGCTCTGCTGCATTGCAAGATCCTCCTGGAAATATAGAAAAACCATAAACATGACGACCTGCGTTCATCAGCAGAATTACAATGCAGAAAATCTCTCAGATGTGTTGTGTAGTTTTTCACCTTGGCTTGCTGTTTAGTCTTCTCTAGCTCTTTACGTGAGAGTGTAAGACTTTGCTGGATTTCAGCTTTCTCCAAGAGTAAAACATCCATTCTTTCAGTCAGCTCCTAAAACAACAAATACGATATTATCATTAAATATGAACATATTTACTTTTACAGCAGATCTGGAGATAATACTATAGACACAAACCTGTATCAACAAGGCATCCTCTGAACTTTTATCAGTATTCTTGGATTGTTGCCTGAGGGATTCAACTTCTTTTTCCAAATCTGGCAAAACACAAAGAGCAATGTCACAAATTTGAGTCTCTTTGATCCTCACAGACTCAAAAGCACCAACCAATCATGAGTTAAAGAAATACCTGCACATTTGGTCTTCATCTTTTGCATGGCGGCTATCTGTTTTTTGGCATATTTGATGAGGTCATCTTTGGACAATGTGTCCAGCTGCATAGATGGAGCAAAGAAAAAGAGGAAAGCAAATGTTATTCACTTGTAAAAACCCTAAAACTGGAGGGCTCCTTTGGATGAGAGGTGAAATATAATGAAAATTAAGTTGGATGATATGGCAAAATCTTATATTTATACATTTCTTAATTTCGGTTGATACAACATGGTTTCCATATTGATATAGAACCATAAAACCTCAAAAAGACCAAGAAATCCCGCAATAGATGCCTGTATAAACTTAAGAGGTATTTAAATCTCCTCCAACATTACATTACTTTAAGAAAAACAAAAACACATAAAACTACATAAGACAGAGAATGTCAGTGAGTGACAATTGTAGTAATGATAGTCTGTAATGTATATTGAAGTATTCAAATGTGTTCAAATGTTGTATCACCGATATACTGAAATATTGTCCAAAGTTCAAAATATGATCAGAGTAAAAGCTGTGATCTACCTTTGACTTGGGGGTCCCTGATTGGGATGGAGTCCCAGCCTCAGCTGCAGCACCACCAGGATCCTTAAAAATAAATAAATAAATAAAAATAATATTATATATATATATATATATATATATATATATATATATATATATATATATATATATATAAACACATATTAATATTTTTTACAACATCTCACACATGGTATTAAAATCATAACATGTGCCAACATTTATAATCCTTTGATGCCTCCCTACTTTTCGAATAGATCTATCTAGAGTAGAAAATAAAACGTTGCCTCTTATTAATTCGTAATATTTGAAGTATAGATCTAAATATTACAGATGTGGAAGACAGAAAATAAACACTGTTATTATCAACCAAAGAACGTCGTTTACTTTACATGAAACACTTTTATTCAAAGTTGTCTCTTTTCAGATAAACTTTTAAACAGCTCTGAGTTTTGGTGTCTTTTTAACACCAGGATCCTCCACACAAAGTTGACAGCTTAGCTAAAGCTAACTGCTCGACAGTAAACATTTACCTCCATCTCAGTCGGCTGTTCCGCTTCGCCTCAGTTCTGTGTCACGGAGGGAGACAGCGGGTACAATGAGCACTTCAGTCTCTATCTGAGATTACAGTCAGTTTTGAAGACATTTAGCACGGACACATTTTATTCTTGTTGGTTCAGAGATACTAAGCTAAAGCTAAGAATCACTTCCGCAATCGTCAACCAAGTGACGTCAGAATAAATTACGCGGCGCGTTTAAACCGAGGAGATGCTGTGTTCAAGCAAAAGTGAGCGATTCATATAAATGGTTAAAGATTACAACCCATTTTCTAGCTGGCGCAGTTATTTGTTTTATGAAAGGGATTCGAGAAAGTTGAGCAGTGAATGAGATGCATGGGGACATTAATGAATTTAAAATAATAAAAAAATATAGTCTAAGTAGGTTGGGGTTATTTCCCCTTGATTAAAGGGGATAAGGATTTTTTTCAGATTGGAATAAGTTCATTTGTGTCCATATTAAGAAAAAAAAATCTTCAATTCAGTTCAGATTATCTATATAGCACCAATTCACAACATATCATCTCAAGGCACTTTACAGTCCACCAGATCATACAGTCCAATTGATTTAAAAATTTCTATCTAATGAAAACCAGTTGACTGCATCGACTCATTGACTCAAAGGCAATCTTTCACACTAACTATGTTTGTAGCGACAGTGGAGAGGAAAAACTCAAATTTTAACAGGAAGAAACCTCCAGCAGAACAAGGCACATGTGGCCCCGTCCAGGAAACACACAGCCAGGTGGATGAGCTCCGAGCCAGCTCCCATGTCAGAGGATGAAGAGAGCACATCCAGCCAGTCACAGTCAGAGAAACAGGACTACACTGAAAAACAGGCTGATCTCCAGCATCTATAAACAAAGGTGTTGATGGCAGCAGCACAGCTGATATTTCTCTCCAGGATGGAGTCACAGCCAAACAGGAACAGACCAGATGAAGCTACTATGAGAAAAAGCAGAGAGATCATAACGTTAGAGATTGAACTAACAGATTCTGTAGAGTAGGAGAATAGAGATAGAATGAAGAAGGATGATGAAAAAGGGGTCCCTATGTCCTCCAGAAGTCTAAACCTATAGCAGCATAACTATAGAGATATCTCAGGATAACCTGAGCCTCTCTAATTATAAACTTTATCAAAAAGGAAAGTTTTAAGTCTACTCTTAAAAGTAGACAGGGTGTCTGCCTCATGGACTAAAACTGGTAGTTGGTTTCACAGGAGAGGAGCCTGATAACTAAAAGATCTGCCTTCCATTCTACTTTTAGAAAGTAGAATGGAAGTTTTTCCAGGTTCCTAAATTCCAGGTTTTTTAGTCCAGCCTTGAAGTAACAAATGCATGGACTTGGTTATTTCAGGTGCATTATATCTATTTACATTATTTTAAGAGCATCATTCCTTTGGCAGATGTGTTTATTCACCTGCTCAAATTAAGGCCACATGAACTTTTAAAAGAATATTTTTCATTTTTTTTGATGGATTTTTGCTGTGTAACTCTAAATTAATTCGTTATGATGATATGCAATGTCAGACGAGATTGTTACTGATTCATCCCTTGAACCAATTTAATACAGTGGCTGGACAATTTTCTTCATAAATTATTTGATATCATATTTTAATCTTTAGGAAGCTTCAGCCACATCGACTTCATGGCTCACTCAATATACTAAGAGATGCGCTCTTTTGTCCTAGTGTTTTTATTGTGTGTTTGTTATTAATTTTGTTCTGTACCTCCATGAAAAAATATCAGCCAATCCTATTCCCTGTTGGTCTAGAACCACTACCGATAATACTGCTTTGACATTAAGGTAATTATTCCCTAAATTGGAGTTCATATGTTGGCGTGGTCTAAAATCTGCCTTTAAACCCTCTGTTTTGACTAAATAATAAACATTCTACTCACCACCCCTGAAAGTAAATAAAAAAAATTAACAAATAATTTGACTGAAAGTTCTCCACAGCAATGCAAAAGAGTGATCAGCAGTTACTGAAAATGTCAGGTGTTTTCATAGATGAAGGCACGATTAGTATAAGAGTCAATAACTTTTCATAAAAACTCTTTTTTGTTTGAAAAGGTAACCCAATTATAATTTTCTCTGAGATGAAAATGTATTTTCTTATATGAAGTTTTAGGAGAAAAAAAATAGTCGAATATCAATTGACATTGTTGTCATAGCTGCCACATAAAACACATGAGAAGGAAAATATGAAGCATGCACTGTCATGAAATATGAGACACTGAGAAAAGCCCTAAATATTTATTTCAAAGTTGTAATTTTTCAGTCACAGTTCATGTTAAGGAAATCTGCCCAGAGCTGTCCTGTATCAACCGGGTTGTTTTGGGATGTTATGGAGAGGGGATGATATTTGCCCTCGCCCTGACATAAGGGCTGTCATAAACTCACTGAAGCTTCTGTATTCTCATCACATCTAGTTTTATCTGTTGAATATGGAGGCCGTCTGTTTTGACACAAGTGACGGAGGCGCCAATGGGGGCAACTTAGCTTGATGCCTCTTATGCTGACAAGGATGGCATGCTGTGAGCAGGGGGCCAAAAGCTCAGCTGACTCGCTGTCTCATCTGGAAGTAACCCGCCTGGGTCAAACAGACCCATCCATCAACAGCCCCTCCCTTGTTTTCTTCCAGCGCATCTAAGAGTATTTTGCTGCCATTTTTCTCCCCCCACTCATGGCCGTCAGTCAGGGACGCCTTTGCAGTAATATAACTGACACTGGCTGGCGTTCGGGGAGTAATGAATGGCCTGGGTGGGTCCATCAGGAGGAGCATAGACGCACTTTCATGCAACTGCCTTTCTTTATTTCTATCTCTCTTCGCTTTCTTCCGTTGGTTTAGTCTTAACAACAACCACATTTCAAACCAACACAGAAAGCAGGATACATTCATCTTCCACCCCTACTGTCTCTGACCTCATCTCTCTTCATTTAAGCTCAACATGATTCTTTTACAGATGATGTTAAAGAACAAGAACAGAAAAAACTAAACTTCCAAGTCATAACTTACTATTATTGCTTTTTAATTTAATTATTCACTTAATTTGTCACAGTTTTTGATATAATCTTAACCAAACAATTCTTTACAGACGTTTCCAAACAGTAATTACAGGAATAATTCACAATAACTTGGGATTTCAAATGGTTTATTTGATCAGCTTTCTTTGAGAGTGAAATGGCTGTACTAAAAAAAAAAATCTATACTTTAAAGAAACAAATCTTTTCCCTGTTGGTGAGGTCCCAAATGCAGGCAGGAGGCAAGAAGAATGGTTTAGAAGTAAGTTAGTAAAGAACTGAAAAAAAAATAAATAAATCCAGAGAACATAGGAAGAACTAAAATGGATCTATAGTGTGCTAACATGATACAAAAAATAAACAAAAAAACAACAGAGAATTAATTATCATTGAGCAGTCTTTAACGAAGAAAGTCACAGGTGTGTCTTTATTCTTGGAATGAATGGGAAGCATCTGGTGCTAAGGCACTAAATCAACCACAAAGAAAACAGGGAAGCCTGGTAATTAAAAGTCGATTGAACCGGGACAGAAATGAACCACTAAGAGCACATTTTGGATGATCTAAGCGGGCAGGGAATGTACCTCAAAAGTCATGGGAACAGTGTATAATAAAGCTAGGAGAAAGTGTCAGTGCTCACAGGACCAACCTTGACTTCTTTAGAAAACTCTAGATGATGTAGGCAGACCTCAATCTAATCAGAATAAATAAAAAACAGTCATTGGATGGTTGGCCTCAAGCCTCCTTAAGGAACTCAGGGCCAGGGTCTGAATTAGGTGGGCCAAGTTCATCAAACCCTAGAAAATTGGAAAGCATTACTGGGTGCAGTGGGTCAACCTTAACCTCCTCACCATATTGGAAAAAAACACTTGAAGAGGTGTCCTCTGAAGATATGGCAGATGCTAGTCCACAGGATAGACACAACTGAAGGATATTAGAGTGAAGATGGTAAATATAGATGTGAGAGTGCTGGCTCTGTTCAAGGGGAAAGACAAGGTGAGGCTGCTATGATGTAGATCAAGGACCAATTTAAACAAACCACAGAGTATGTGCTTAGCAGTCTTTTTCTGGATTGTCTAATTTAAAAACTTCTTATTTAATTTAATCATGTTTTCTTTTCCTGTGATGGACTGGCGACCTGTCCAGGGTGTACCCCGCCTCTCACCTGTAGAAAGCATGGAATGGGAACCAGCACCCCTCGCAACCCCACTTGGGATAAGCGTGACGGAAAATGGATGGATGGATGGACGGATGGATGGATGGATGGATGGATGGATGGATGGATGGATGGATGGATGGATGGATGGATGGATGGATGGATGGATGGATGGATGGATGGATGGATGGATGGATGGATGGATGGATGTTTTCTTTTCACTATGGGAAAAAAGCCCATTCTTTGTCTGGTATTTGTCATGTCATAAAACATTCAATACATTGTAAAACCAATTTTAAGAAGATGCATAGTATCTTCATAATATCTAAGGTGGGTTTTTTAGTACAGTAATAAAAAAAACCCTTGTGTGTCTGCATCTTGCTTTATAAAACCTTATATGTTGCATTTTTACACCCTGGAAACAGACTGGCTGAAATAAAAAAATGAAAGTACACATCTAATCTGATAATTATGCCAATGAGGATTTTTTTTCTTACCTCCACCATAGCCATAACTTAAGAAGATTTTGTTGAGTTTAAATTAATCTTTGAGGTCACATCAGTTTATTAAGGCAATAATCAAAAATATTCCACTTCTTACTTTTTTTGTTGAAAAACATTTTCTAAAAAAACAAAATCATTATTTTCTATTCCATCTTAGTAATTGCTCAGTTTTTGTGCATCTTACAAATATACCAATAACTATACATGCACAGAACTCAAGGTTTTGATTCTATACATCTGTACTTGTCCCACAAGCTAATCAAAAGGTGACTTTGATGGAAGCAAAGAGGAGTTGTTGTGTCGGGAACTCCTGTGGTGTGATTGAAGTCTCTCAGTGGGAATCAACAGGAGACAAGAAAGACAACTGTTGATTATTTGTCTTTGAAAATCCTTTAGTATTGACTTCTTGGGCATGCTAACTCTCAATCATAATTGACTCTTGATTATTACTGAATTTTGAATTTATTATAGTTGTACATA